TTTTGGTTTGGGAAGAATTAACATAAAACCACAGTGATGGGGGTTTTTGTTTTTTGGATAGTATTAAATAAACAAGTGAGGTGGGTTGTGTTTAGGAGTATTTTAACATAAAACACGTGGGGGGGTTTGTGTTTAGGAGTAGTATTAACATGAGAACGTGATGGGGGGGTTGTGTTAGGAATTTTAAAAAACAGGCACATGACGGTGGGTTGTTTTTTGGGTAGTATTAACATGAAGAGGTGATGGGGGTTTGGAATCGCAAAAGGATCCTTTTTAACAATGCAATTTTATATGAAATAAAAAAAAATAGTGACACAAGGGAAAAAAATACACGTGAATAAAAATAACAATAATTAGAAAAAATAACATTTTTTTTACCCAGCCCCGAGTTGATGTGCAGGGGTACAAGGTAATTGAGGTAGATATGTACGTACATATAAGAGAAAGGGGGATGCCTAGTCAGTTGCACAACTGAATACATTCAACTGAAATGTGTCTTCCACATTTAACCCAACCCCTCTGAATCAGAGCAGTGCGTGGGGCTGCCTTAATCCACGTCATCGGCGCCGGGAATCAGTTCTTGTTGGGGGTTAACTGCCTTGTTCAAGGGCAGAACTGCAGATTTTTTCATCTTGCCGGTTCGGGGATTCCAACCAGCAACCTTTACTGGCCAAACACTCTTAACCCCTAGGCTACCTGCCGCCCCATAGATAGGAGCAAAGTGACTCGGCATCAGGATAGATAATAGACTAAGATGTAGCAGCAGTTTATGTGGAGCAGTAGCAGCAGCATATGTGGTGAGAGTGAAAGTGTGTGTGTGTGTGTGTGTGTGTTTGTGTGTGTGGTGTCAGTATGCATGTGTGCTCATGTTATGTGTGTGTTAGCATATGTCTGACTGTATCACACAGTTGTCCGGAACATCTGGTGCTCTCATAAATGGTTAATTGTTGCTTGCATCGGAGCGAACATAGAAGGCATTTACTGTAGCTCGTCGTGTAGGATTGTGTCACTGGGCAGCTTCGTGGCTGGATTTCCCTTTGGAATCCATGATAGTTTGCAAGCCCTGCCACATCCTTCGATCTTCAGAGCCAGCGTAGTTGGATTCGAACGTAGTCCTGAATTGACACTGTGCCGGTTTGATTGCTCATCGGAGGTCATAGCGAGATTTCTTATAAGCGTCAGGATTAGTGTCCTGCTACTTGAAAGCGGAAGCTTTTAAGCCCTCTAGCCTTTAGCTCTGTGTGGATGTTGCCTGTAATCCATTGCTTCTGGTTGGGGTATGTACGTACGTCACTGTGCGGACAATGTTGGTGATGCACTTATTAATGAAGCCGGTGACTGATCTGGTAAACTCAATGTTATCGGCTGAATCCCGGAACATATTCCAGTCTGTGCTAGCGAAACAGTCCTGTAGCTTAGCATCCACTTGATCGGACCACTTCCGTATTTAGCGTGTCACTGGTACTTCCTGTTTGAGTTTTTGTTTGTAAGCAGGAAGCAGGCGGATAGAGATATGGTCTGATTTGCCAAATGGCCTTTTATGTGTGTGTGGGGTAAAGGTGATCTAGAGTTTTGTAACCACTAGTTTCACAGGTGACATGCTTGTAAAAATAAGGTAAAAGTGTTTTCAGTTTCCCTGCATTGAAATCACCTGCCATGAGAAACTCCGCCTCTGAATGTGCAATTTCTTGTTTGCTTATGGCTCTTCACAGCTTTTTGAGTGCTGTCTTAGTGCCAGCATGGATTTCTGATGGTAAATAGACAGTTACAAAAAATATATACTGAACAAAAAAATAAACACAACATATAAAGTGTCGGTCCCATGTTTCATGATCTGAAATAAAAGATCCCACAAAAAGCTTATTCATCTCAAATTTTGTTCACAAATTTGTTTACATCCCTGATAGTGAGCATTTTTACTTTGATTGATATGTGCCATATCAAGAAGCTGATTAAACAGCACGATCAACAGCACGTGGTCCTCTGTAGCTCAGCTGGTAGAGCACAGCGCTTGTAACGCCAGGGTAGTGGTTTCGATCCCCGGGACCACCCATACACAAAAAAAATGTATGCACGCATGACTGTAAGTCGCTTTGGATAAAAGCGTCTGCTAAATTGCATATTATTATTATTACACAGGTGCACCTTGTGCTGGGGACAATAAAAATGTGCAGTTTTGTCAGACAATACAAAGGCACAGATGTCTCAAGTTTTGAGGGAGCATGCAATTGGCATGCTGACTTTGGGAATGTCAACCAGAACTGTTGCCACATAATTTAATGCTAATATCTCTACCATAAACCGCCTCCAACGTCGTTTTAGAGAATTTGGCAGTACATCCAACCTTCCTCACAACCGCAGACCACATAACCACGCCAGCCCAGGACCTCCAAGTCCGGCTTCTTCACCTGCGGGATGGGTCTGAGAAAAGCCACCTGGACAGCTGATGAAATGTTTTGCTTTGCTCAACCGAAGGATTTCTGCATAAACTATCAGAAACTGTCTCAGGGAAGCTCATCTGCGTGCTCATCATCCTCACTAGGGTCAGGACTGCTGTTTGGCGTCGTCATCGACTTCAGTGGGAAAATACTCACCTTCGATTGCCACTGGCACGCTGGAGAAGTGTGCTCTTCACGGATGAATCCCGGTTAGATACTGTAATACTGTGACGAGATCCTGAGATACTGTGACAAGATCCTGAGACCCATGTTTGCATGTTTGCGTTTATATTTTCGTTCAGTGTAGATGAAAACTCTCATGGGCAACACTATGGTCTGCAGCTTATCACAGATATTCTAACTCAGGCGAGCAAAAACTTGAGACTTCCTTAACATTATAGATCATCCACCAGCAGTTGTTAACAAAAAGACACACCCCTAACCCCTTCAGTCTGCCGTCCATTCTTGAAGATGCATACACTCTTAGAGAAAAGGGTTCCAAAAGGGTTCTTCGACTGTCCCAATAGGAGCACCCTTTTTGGTTCCAGGTAGAACACTCTGTGGAAAGGGTTATACATGGAACCCAAATAGGTTCTACCTGGAACCATAAAGGGTTCTTCAAAGGGTTATCTTATGGGGACAGCCAATGAACCCTTTTAGAGTCTAGATAGCACCATTTATCTGTGTAGACAAACAAGCGAGTTGTATATCCATGTCCTCGTTCAGCTGCGATTCTGAGAAACATATAATATAGTTTTTCAGGGCCCGTTGATAGGATAGTCTCGAACAGAGCTCATCCAGTTTGTTCTACAGTGATTGCGCGTTCGCCAATAGAACAGAGGGCAATGGCGGTCTATTGGAGTAAGCAGAACATCCATAATTGCCGTCTCGTTGAAGTAGAAATGTTTGTCCAAATCAAGTTTAGTGATCACTGTCCTGATGTCCAGAAGCTGTTTTCTGTCATAGGAAATGATGGCGGAGACATTATGTCCCAAAAAAAGTTAAGATTAGTGTAAAAAATACACAAAATAGCAGAGTAAGTCAGGAGCCCGTAAAACGAATACCATCCACTGCAATGACATCTGCTGTACACAAGAGCCAACAGTGTAACATAATATGATAGTGGCATGTACTACAGTACAGACATCACTGTTTATGTGCTTAAATGTGACTTTTTCAAGCCAGTGTTGCGTTTCATTCGTTTGTTATGTTGTTATTAGCCCAACATTATTGAGGACATTATTATTAGGTACCGGAAATATACACAATGGGCAACAGTGGTTCTCTCCCAAATGGCTCCCTGTTCCCTTAATAGTGTCCTACTATTGACCAGGGCACGTAGGGTGTCATTGCGGACGCAGCCAGTGTAACAGAATGTGATCGTGGCTTATGTTACTGCCCAAATGAATGCGGACATCGTATGAAGAGACAGGATGCTGCAGTAATGTTGTCAGTAGGGAGCGCTCTAGTCTAGAATGCTGGAACCTTCAGTACCACTTTGATGCAGCTGATGAGGAGTGATGGGAATGGGTCAAATTTTGTCTCTTCTAAAAATGTAGGGCCCACTCCTCAAAATAATAAGAATGCAACACTTTTCTGACATGCTGTTTATGCATGTAAATGTCTTAGCGCCCGTTTTAGGCTATTTAAAAAATGTGTCAACCACAGAACCACACTTTCATAGGCTAATTTTGTTTTTTCACTGCCAGTAAATGTGTTGGTTTTGAGAACTGATCACATGCCTTCCTGTCTCCATTTTCCCCCCCTTACACCCTGAAACCACTTCATGCACTTTAAATTTTTTCCCGG